ACAAATTCATGCACCAGTGGGGTCCCTCGGTCTGGCCTGTGTGGATCGGGCCGAAACCGGCTCTCCGACATCCCCCAAGGGTCCCAGATTTCGAGAGGGCACAGGCCAGGCAGAGGGACCCCACTGGTGCACAACAGGGGCTGGGGAGGGACGTGGGAGGTTGGCCAGCCAGGGAAGGACTGTGGGAGGGCTCCAGGGAGTGTCCAGCCCGTCTCGCTCAGTCCCGATTGGCGGACCCCAGCAGCAAGCTAACCTACTGGTCGGAGCATCTACTCCCTGGTGGTCAGTACACGTCATAGCTACTGGTCGACCGGTCAACTGTCTGCCCCCTGGTGGTCAGTGCATGTCATAGCGAGCAGTTGAGCAGCCTTAGCATATCATTAGCATATTACGCTTTGATTGGTTGAACGGTCGACTGGACAACCAGACACTTAGCATGTTAGGCTTTTATTATATAGGATGCTTACCCTGTGCCTACTTTAGCCTAAGCACTATGCCAGGCATTAGGGATATTAGATGGACACAGTCTTAGTTTTCAGGTAAAATCAAATCAGAAAAAGGAGGCAGACATTAAACAGTTGTGATAGTAATGTTACTGAGATGTCAAATACAAAAGGACCCCTACCTTAGTCTGGGAATAAGGAAGTCAAGGAAGGCTTCCCTGAGGGACATGTGGGCTGACCTTCAAAGAGGGCTGGGGGAGGCGTGTTCTGGGCGTGTGCAAAGTCACTCAGGCTAGAGTGCAATGGAGTACTGGTGCTGAGAGGGGAAGAGGACGAGGTAAACAGGCCTTGGATCCTGCAGGGCTCTCCAGGTGGTGATGAGGACTTTATTTTATTCCAATGAAATGCAAAGCTTTTGAAAGGTGCTAAGTAGGGGAATTGCCTGATCAGATTTAAATTTCTAAACCATCATTCTAACCGCTATTTGAAGAATGATTAGGAGAAAGCACAGTGGAGCTCCTTACCCAGATGCCACTACCCAGCTCCCAGCCTCAGTTCTCTTCACTTTTTAGTCATATCATGAGCTTTGCTGGATCCTCTATAACATTTAATTTGTGGCACCTGGTTATATACCACCTGATCACATACTAATCATCTCCTATTTATCTCTTTCTCTCTTTTTTTCAATTGCAGTTGGCATTCAGTATTATTTTATGTTCATTTCAGGTGTACAGCATAGTGGTTAGACATTAATATAATTTACGAAGGGATTTTTTATCCTCATAACTTTAATTCTTTACTCTCTCTAGTCTTATGTTCTGAATCCTTTTGTATATCAACAAGTATTCAATGAATACTTCCTCAGTAGATTTAAGGCTGGACTGGCAAGGGTCTTCTAAAATGTGGAACAAAGAACTGGCAGGACTCCCTTGTGGTTTGTGTTTTCCCAGTAGACATGTAGGAATCTTCTGGGCACAGGGAGGGTTGCACCAAGCCTATATTTTTAGAGTAACCAGTGATGGCCCAGTACAAAATGGTACATGTAGGAGGACCAAGGATTGAGGCTGCCATCACTTTTGTTCTGGAAACAAAATCAGCTATGGTCACTTCCCATCAATCACCTCCAACTAGCTTTCTCCACAGAAAAACTGAATCCATGGCCTGTGCTTCACATACATAAGCTGTCCTCTTTGACCCAGTCCTACTCTAGAAGACTCAATTGTGAAGTTCATATATTTCTCAATAGCTAGAGGTTGCAGGGCACACCTATAGGCTTATTTATCTCCTAAGTTTGGAAGATTGCTCTAAACCCAAGGTCCTTCAATTAGAATGTTGCTGCAGTCAGAATGTTTCCCTGATTTTAGTTAAAGAGATAAAGTAATAGGGAACAAAGAGAATAAGAACCAGAGAAAGCTTACTTTAAGGGTCAATAGTTTGCCAAGTTCATACCTTTGCAGCCAGCCGACACTCCATCACCCTGATGTTGAAATGGGAGGTTGCTGCCTTATTCATTTCCACACAACTGTTGGCAATCACAAACACTGCTCCACTGGGGAGTTTCACATCAGTTGCCCTCAGAGGGCTAAATTCTATCAACTTGGCCTATTGGAAGAAAATTTCAGAAAATGTTTAACCATTTATGCACTTATTTATCTTAGTAAATTTTTTCCTAAAAATGCATTTACCATTCAAGTATTATTTGTTGACTTCCAGTTACTGTACTAGGCATAGAAGATACAACAGTGAACAAGACAGACACTGTCCCTGCCCTCATAGAGCTTACAACCTAGTGGGAAAGGCAGTCAGGTAGACAAGTACATTTCCAGGTTGTTACAATGGTGGTAAAGGGCAGGGTGCTATACAGACACATACTTAAAACACCTGATCAGATATAGCCTAGAGCGGGCTCCCTTGAAAAAAGGGAAATCTAAACTGAGTCTTAGAGGATGAGCAAGAGTAGGACAGGCAGAGGGTGTCTTTACCCAAATAGGATGTCAAGGTGAGGGAAAAGCATAAGCAAGCTCAGAGGTGGAAAAACACCATGAGGTGTTCATAGAGCTTTGGAGACTGAAAATTAGCTGAAGCTTAGAGTTTGAAGGGGGAGGCATGGTGAAAGGGTAGATAGGAGGGGTAAAGCAGGAGTCAGATTGTAAAGTGCTTTGCAAGCGCAAAGAATTGGGACTTTGTTCAGATCTACATCTAACTTACATTAACATCAGGACTCGTGCCATCATGTCTGCTTGTCAGATCTCATCCAAAACACCCAGAGTATTTTCTTAGCATTAAACCAAATTTCCTCATGCCTCATGTCTTTGGCTTAGGGGAATCAACAACAAATATTCTTAATAAGAAAAAATCCAGGTATTCTGGGAAAAGAGCCAAGCCTGTAGGAATCTGATGAAAAACTAAGAAAATATTTTAAAGAAATGTCTGCTTCAAATGGATAAAGGACTTAAACATAAGACGGGAAACCATAAAAATACTAGAGGAATCCACAGGCAGCAAAATCTCAGATATATGCCGAAACAATTTCTTCACTGATACAGCTCCTAGGGCAATGGAAACTAAAGAGAGAAATAAACAAATGGGACTACATCAAAATAAAAAGCTTTTGCACAAAAAAAGAAACCATCAACAAAACAACAAGAAAGCCCACTGCATGGGAGAACTTATTTGCCAAAGTTATCACCAATAAGGATTTAATCTCCAACATTTACAGGGAACTCATACAACTTAACAAAAAGGAGATAAACAACCCAATCAAAAAATGGGCAAGGGACCTAAATAGATACTTTTCAAAAGAAGATGTAAGGAAGGCCAAGAGACATATGAAAACATGCTCAAGCCGAAACCGGTTTGGCTCAGTGGATAGAGCGTCGGCCTGCAGACTGAAAGGTCCCAGGTTCGATTCCGGTCAAGGGCATGTACCTGGGTTGCGGGCACATCCCCAGTGGGGGATGTGCAGGAGGCAGCTGATCGATGTTTCTCTCTCATCGACGTTTCTGACTCTCTATCTCTCTCCCTTCCTCTCTGTAAAAAATCAATAAAATATATTTTTAAAAAAAAGAAAACATGCTCAAAGTCACTAATCATCCGAGAGATGCAAATCAAAACAACAATGCGGTACCATCTCACACCTGTCAGAATGGCTATCATAAACAAATCAACAAATGACAAATGCTGGCGAGGATGTGGAGAAAAAGGACCCCTTGTGCACTGCTGGTGGGAATGCAGACTGGTGCAGCCACTGTGGAGAACAGTATGGAGTTTCCTCAAAATACTAAAAATGGAACTTCCCATTTGTCCCAGTGTATCTCACTTCTAGGAATATATCCAAGAAACTAGAAACCCCAATCAGAAAGGATATATGCACCCTATGTTCATAGCGGCACAATTCACCAATAGCTAAGATTTGGGAAACAGCCCTAAGTGCCCATCAGCAGATGAGTGGATTAAAAAACTGTGGTACATCTACACAATGGAATACTATGCTGCGGTAAAAAAGAAGGAATTCTTGCCATTTGCAACAGCATGGATGGAACTGGAGAGCATTATGCTAAGCGAAATAAGCCAGTCATAGAAAGATAAATATCACATGCTCTCACTCATCTGTGGAATATAATGAACAACATAAACTGATGAACAAAAACAGATCCAGAGACAGAGAAGCATCGATCAGACCGTCAAACCTCAGAAGGAGGGAGAGGGTAAGGGGGAGAGATCAACCAAAGGACTTGTATGTATGCATATAAGCCTAACCAATGGACACAGACAACAGGGGGGTGAGGGCATGGGGGGGGGTCATGGGGGACAATGGGGTGATAAGGACACATATGTAATAACTTAATCAATAAATAAAATAAAATAAAAAGAAACTAAAAAAATATAATGTCTGCTTCTACTTTGGAAATGGGCACTTTATGACCAACAACCCAAAACTTCTGCTCTGTCTAAGGAGTTGATAGCCAGGGGGAAGTGGTATCTAGCTAAGGAATTCATTCCTGGCTTACTGTCAACATTTTTTCCCCACCGCTGAAACCCCAAAAATGTTGACAGAGAAAAATGATACCAAAGAGTAAATTGTAAAAAGAGGGGTTGTGAATATATGTGGTAAGAAAACTAACATTTGGGTTTAAAACCAACAAGAGATTAGGAAATGCCATGAGATGAAGTGATTTAGGACGAGAGAGGGAAAAGAGGTCTCAACAACTAGGGAATTGAGAAATCATCCTAACAATGAATTAGGAGGAAGAAAAAAAAAAACCTAAACACAAGAGAAAAACAGACTGGAGGGATGAGCCTGGAAGCTTAAGGGAAAGGTGATCAACATGAAACAGAATAGGTGAACTGGTGGTAGCCTTGAATTACAGAGGGGAGAAAACCGTGCTACAATAGAGTCTAATAGAATAGACTGCCCAAAATCGAGCATGCTAGGGATCTCATAACCTTCCTCTCTGTGTGAACTTTCCCTAGCTGATATTTCCAAATAGCTCAATGCCACCTACAGTTCCTTCTTCTGCAAGAAATGATATGGACTGGTCCATCCCTCCTCCTTCGGTGCCAATATACCGCTCACTCTTGGCGCAGATTTCCGCAAGTTCCACCTGGAAAAATAAAAATTGATTTGCATCATGAGTACAATCATAATCTATTTCTCACTCATTGCTTTTTTAAAAATTTTAATTTATTTCCAAGAGACAGCAATGGAGAGGGGGAGAGAGAAACATCAATGAGAAACACTGATCGGCTGCCTCCTGCACAGCCCCTACTGGGGATTGAGCCCACAACCCCAGGTATGTGCCCTGACCAGGAATCAAACCAGCAACCTCTCAGTGCGTGTGACTATGCTCAATCAACTGAGCCACACCAGCCAGGGCATATCATTCATTTCTTATTATAGACATGACAGATAGGTTTGAATTCCAGTGCCAACTGTGAGCAATTGATAGTAGTTGCCTGGAGCACTGTGTGCCTGGTATGGGATGGAGATAGTGACTGTGCATGCCGTGTGTTTACTACCCTTAAAAGACTCCACAGGGCAAGCACTTTCTCCCATCTTTCTATTTGTTCCATCCCTCTCTAGACTGGTATCATCAAAAATCTCCTATGTGCACTGATTCATTTCTGCCTCAGTGCCCTTTGTCTCCCTACAATGAACTATTCCACAGTCTCCCCACAGCCAAAGTGGGGTCATCTGACTTTATTTCCCAATCTAAATTAATTCTGTCTCTGTGGCATTTCCATTAAATGTAAGAATCAGAATTAGTGTCATTTCACTAAACACATCTTCAACCAAGATGAAGAGGCCCAAAATATGAACACATTTCTACTGTATCAAAATATCTGTTTAAGAATCTTCAGTGGCTTCTTATTGATTAAGTTTAAACTCCTTAACCTGGCATTTCAAAGTCTTCCAAAAATATACAATCAATGTGTATACTAGTATATGTACCACTCTTTTCCAGTTAGATTTGTCTCCTTGACCATTTCACACATTATGTCTTTCTCTCATATAAATCTTATTGCCATTCAATACCCAGCTTATTGGCTATCTACTATAGGCAAGTCACTGGGCTGGCACTCAAATCTGCCTCCATGAGAGTGTCCCTCAAATATTGTTCCCACTATAGCATCCCCTTTCTCTAAACTCCTACAATGCTTACAATGAGTATACCTATTTACTCACTCTACTATTTTATATTTATTCATTTTCTCTTTCTTCTAAGAATTGATTCAGGCCCTACTTCTCATCTGTTTTGCTGGAAGATCCTCCTAGAGTGGTCATTCTGAAACACTGCTATGATCATCTCTTGCCTGCTTGGTTGCCAATGCCTTCATGCTCAGCCTTCTCAGCATGGGACACAAGGTCTCCAATGACTTATCCCTTGCTCATTTCTCCAGCCCGTTCTCCCACCACTAAACCCATAAACCCTAAGCTCAGGCCATCAGGAATACTGAGCAAATGCTGTTCTTCATCATCCTCAGGCTCTCTCGTGTCTCAGTGACTTTAAAAATGTGATTTTCTGTCCTCCTAGCTCAGTATTCCTCTGTCCAGCATCCCCCACTAGTCATCAGGATGAACTCAAGCACCACCCAAATGCACACACACACCACATAACCTCTCTTCTGCACCCTGTAAACCTTATTCTCGTTTATCAAACCAGCTTTAAGTATGGGTGTTCTTGTATCTTGATCCACCAATCTATGAGCCCATGCAGTGCCCAGATCAGCACCCACTGAACTAACATGACTGGATCAAATAGTGTTTATTATTGTTCTTTAATCATGTTAGGTTTCGATCACATCAGTTTGCCCCAAAACACTGTCAGTCCTGTAAGAGACAAATAAAGAAGGTGTTTCTTTTGTATCCCCTACTTCACACAATGCTGACCACATAGTAATTCAGTATAAACATCCTGTTTTCGCTTTCTGAGAAAGCTGCCCAAACATCACCTGACGGATTCTGTGTTATATTCCTTATTGGTCATGTGGATTCACTAACATTAACTCTGCCTCGTGAAACAAGGTAAATTTGGGATTTTGACATAATGGGCATTGCCTGTGGCCAGCTGAATACAGAACCTCTCTATAACAGGCACATTAAGAATAAATTAATAATCAAAAGGTTAAAACACTTGGATTTTAAAATGTAAAGAAACAACTCCAGTGAAGAAGTTTGCACAGCATTCAATGAGGAATGACCAGACCTGAGTTCCCACCTAAGGGTGACCCTGGACCAGTGTGAAAAGTCATCCCCACAAAACCACAATGACAGCCACACTTACATACTCCTTATCCCTTTTGTGTGCATTATATCCTTGAGGCTCCAAACAACACTCTGCTTATCCTCATTATACAGATGAGGACAATGGAACTTGGAAATATAACAGAAAATGGAGGAGCCAGCAATTGAGTCCCATCTGCCTGACTCCAAAGCCGGTATTCTTTTCACACTGGACTTCAATTACTTCTCCCCACAAATGAAGATAATATCACCTTTTTTTCCACTACCTCAAAGGAATGTAAAATGACAAATGAGGTCACCAAAATTTAAGTATTCTCCCTCTTAAGAGGAAAAAAAACTAAAGCATTAAGAAGTATTTATTCTCACTTTTTTTTAATTTTTGATGTATGGCAATAACTGAATACTTTAATAGAAATAGGAGGTTAATTTTTCAGACTATCTATGTAGGAAGAATTCAGAGGGCCCCAAAGTCCCCAAAATCTCTGTCAAGTCCCCACCACCTGCAGGGCTGTAGGCATCCCTATGCCTTACTATCTCTCATGGTAAATTCTGACAGACAGAGCTCATGACTGGACAGACAATACCCATGAGTCCTAAGTGTGAGGAAACAAAATGAAAATACGGAAGTTGGAAGAAGAACAATGACTTGTTTTCCAGTCCCCCCAAAATGCATGAGGAATTCAGCAGTAAATACAGAGAAAAGAAACCAATACCCAGTGCTTCCAAATCTTGGTTAAAGCCCAATTAGTTGTGTTACCTTAAATACATTTCTTAATTTTTTCAAGTTTCCATTTCTTCATGTACTATCCTATATAATAAAAGTCTAATATGCTGTGTCCAGTCGTCCAGTGGTCCGTTCAACCAGTCAAAGCATAATATGCTAATGATATGCTAAGGCCGCTCAAACTCTCGCTATGATGTGCACTGACCACAAGGGGGCAGATAGTCGACCAGTCGCTTTGACGTGCACTGACCACAAGGCGGCAGATGCTCCGACCGGTAGGTTAGCTTGCTGCTGGGGTCCAGCCCATTGGGACTGAGCAAGACGGGCTGGACACTCCCTGGAGCCCTCCCATGGTCCCTCCCTGGCTGGCCAACCTCCTGTGTCTCTCCCTAGCCCCAATCGTGCACCGGTAGGGTCCCTCGGCCTGGCCCACACCCTCTCGCAATCCGGGACCCCTCAGGGGATGTCGGAGAGCCGGTTTCGGCCTGATCCCGCTCAACGCAGGAGCTGCCCCTTGGTGGTCAGTGCACTCCCACAGGGGGAGCACCGTTCAGCCAGAAGCTGGGCTCATGGCTGGCAAGCGCAGCAGCAGTGGTGGGAGCCTCCCTAGGCCAGCAATTGGACATCCCCTGAGGGCTCCCGGACTGCAAGAGGGTGCAGGCTGGGCTGAGGGAACTCCCCACCCTGAGTGCACAAATTTTGTGCACCAGGCCTCTAGTTAATAATAATAGTTTTAGTAGGTAAGATTTACTTAGCACTAACTATGAGTCAGTTACTATTCTAATTGTCTTGCATGAATTATATACTTTGTATAATGACTCTATAAGATAGGCACCACCTCATTTTACAGATGAGAAAACTGAGTGGGTTTATAAGCTGAAACTAGACTAGCAATTCCTAAAGCTCAAATTCAAACTCAAATTGTCTAACTCCAGAGCCCATATCCTTAATCATACTATATTACCTCCCATCCATAATATACAAAAAAATACCCAATGAATTAAATAGAAATACTTCATAAATAATAAAGCACCATACAATTGTTAATTTTATTATTTTTACACAATGAACAAGGAAATCACTTGATTTGCACAAGTGTGTAGCTAATTCCCCAGCCAAATGTACAAACAGATATAGTTATTCTTCAATACAGGACCATTTTTTAATTTTTTTATTTTTGGAGGGGTCAAATTATTATTTTTTCTTTTTTAAAATATTTTTTAATTTTTCAATTACAGTTGACATACAATGTTATATTAGTTTCAAGTGTACAACATAGTGATTAGACATTTATGTAACTTATGAAGTAATCGTCCCCACAAGCAGGACCATTTTTTAAAGTGTTCAGGGAAAGAGAACTTAAAAGATTCTGATGCCCCTTGGAGAACGAATTCAACAATAGGAAGTAATGGACCCTGGGGCAATGAGGAGAGTGTATGTTCCATTTATGGCAGCGGTACTCAACCCGTGGGTCGCGACCCCTTTGGGGGTCGAACGACCCTTTCACAGGGGTCGCCTAAGACCATCGGAAAACACATATATAATTACATATTGTTTTTGTGGTTTAATCACTATGCTTTAATTATGTTCAATTTGTAACAATGAAAATACATCCTGCATATCAGATATTTACATTACGATTCATAACAGTAGCAAAATTACAGTTATGAAGTAGCAATGAAAATAATTTTATGGTTGGGGGTCACCACAACATGAGGAACTGTATTAAAGGGTCACGGCATTAGGAAGGTTGAGAACCACTGATTTAAGGCATTTCAGTCTCAATGGGGTAGAGTAGGTCCCTGCTGGCCAAACAAAACATCCTTGTGTATAAACTTCAACTGTAGGCCCACAGGCTGGCTTCCCAAGTGGCCCTAGCCCTTCACCCCCATACTAAAAGCAGAAAGGTAAAATCCTAAATGCTTATGAGGTGGAAAGAAACTACAAACAAACGTGTGTGTTGTTTTTATCTCAAATTCTTGCATGCCTCTGAAAATAAGCAAACATCAGAGCGAGGCCCATAGCCTTAAATAGAGATGGCATGACCTGAACCCAGAGAACCATTAATGGAGGAAACTTAACAGCAGTGGGTACAAGTGGGAACAGAGAATGCCTGTCATTCTGGGTAAGGTGAG